AATTCTGATATTCGATGCTCTGGGCTGGTATGATGGTACATTACTGTTGTGAGACACGTTAGAACTGGTGCTTGATATCTGCATAGCAAAGAGACTGTCCAATGCTTCCCTCCGGAAGGTTCGAGCCATCTCTCTGCATTCGGCGTACAGTTGGTCAAGCCCAGTCTTAGAGCCTCCAAACCCCTAAACCCTAAACCCCTAGCCCCTAAACCCTAAGCGAAGCCTCGCAAGTTCCGGAAATCTAACAACCCCAGCAGGCAGCCCCACTCTAAACCCCAATTCTGTGACACAAGCCCTATATACGCGGGTTCTCGTAGTCCGCAAGCCCAGGAATCGGATCGAAGGTTTAGGGTTTAGGGTTTAGGGTTTATAGTTATATAACTATATACTTAAATCCGATTCCGGGCTGGAAGGCTACGAGAACCCGCGCAGACCACTCGGCGAGGAGTAAACATCGAATTCTACATGTTTCTACAAGAAAGCTCGTAGAGTCTACTTGGCTGTATCTTGTAATTGACGAGAAACATATAGGTCGGAATCGACTCAAATGTTGCTGATTGTGGACTCGTCAGGTTACGCGGGCGACCAGGGCTCCACGGCTCAGCAGTTCGTTGTGGCATTGAGATCAGGTTTTGGTTTGGGGGGCAGTTCTGAAGTTCTGACTGCGCGTGCCTTCAACCGCTACACAAGTAACTACATACCTTGTGCGGGAGTAAGGTCGACCAGCTCGGAGTTCCGAGGCTGTTGGGGTCTAGCGACGGTAGGCCGACGATGGCCTCAAACCGTAGGCTCTAAAAGCTTGAACCTAAACCCTCAACAATAGTCGCCGCTATCGATCCCACTGGGACGCAACAGGGTGCAGCGACCAGGCCCCCAACTCGAATCAGAAAGCCTATTGTGGCGCAGGTTCCACAACGGTTCCAAATTTGCAATACAGGGCCCAGCACGATCTGCTTAATCCCAAACAGGATCGTGATCGCAGCATTTAAGATTCTGATAGCCTGATGACTGATATCTTCTTCCCTGGCGTGCCTCGTGTCGTTCAGGGGCATAGGCCTCGCCGACTCAAACTCAATTCCACTTCACGAATGTCGAAGTTTCGCAAGCTCGCACATTCCATCAAGGCTTCTAAGGGTTTAGGGTACGGCTACGAGTTCACGGTCACGACATTTGAAATCGTGCCAATGAGAACTTCAGTACGTACATGTAGTTAACCTGAATCAGGGTACAAGAGTCCACTCAGGCAAAGGCATAGACCATCTTGTCCGAAATGTCCATCTGACTTTAGGCTTATCATGTTCATTTCGCCATCTGAACCTACTAGTAAGTGACCATCCATAGGGGCACTGCGCAACGGAATGCAAAGGATGCCAAGCATGGGGCAGTGTCTCCCTCTTCGAGGTTGGCGAGGAAGCCCCGGCACACCTGGGATTGCGTCGACATGGGTAGCCCCATGTAATCTCAACGACTTGTGCCGGGCCATACATGCGTCTATGTAATTAAGAACGAAAATAACCGAAACAAGTTGCAAACAATCAGTGCCAAAACTGTCTTGCAGGACAAAAATGGAAATAAAGTATGCATGTCTAGAATACTAAGAAATCATACTTGCACTTATCTCCAGAAACGCGCATGTACAGAATTACACGATTAAGAAAACCCGTGCCGAAACCTTCTGAGCAAACCACCAAAACCAGAACCCTCAACTGCGAAGCCCTGAATCTCCTAAAGCCAAAACCGTGAATCTCAACCTCCAATATTTTTACCAAGGCCCTGAAAACCCACAGTCTGAAGCCTTAAACTCGAGAGCCACCTGATCTCGCAGCATTACACTACCTTTACGACTCCTACATTAGGGGCTGCATACCCTCGCCGAAGAGGCTTATAACCGTTCACTACCATAAGAGCTTTATAGCCCTTAACCCTGAACATCCCTAAAACCTAAACCCAGTTAAAGGTTACCTGCTAATCCCCCAATCGCACATAAAGCCTGAAACGAACCAACGCCGAGGAACAACAAAAGACTCCTGGCTGGAGTTCCGCGAAGCCCGGGGCTTACAGCAAAGCACCTCCTGGCTGCACCGTTGCGGGGTTTTAGGGTTGAGGGCTTCATAGGGTTTTAGGAAGGGTTCTGGCTGCTTGGGGGTTGAAGGCTGGGCGATTATGAGGGCTTGAGGGTGCTTACGGGTATGACAGCTCAGGTTGAGAGTTGAAGGGTTAAGTCTTAAGGCTGCTACGGGTCTAGAATCAGCACTCAAGCCTGCTATTCAGATGTTCAAGATTTGTGGTTTCGGCGCTTCTTGTGGGCCCAGAGACCAACCGCCCAGATACGCTTGGATTCACGCATGTCTACTCATTTCTCCAGCAAGCGTTGGCAGAGGGCATTTGAGATTTCGGTTCTTCCCAACCTCTCGCCCCTAAACCCCTAACCCCAAACACCCTAAACCCCAAAACCACCAACCCGAAACTCAAAAACCCTAAACACCCTAAACCCCAAAACCATAGACCCCAAAACCCTAATCCCCTAGAAACCCTGAGTGCTTGGACACATTGCGCCTGAAGGAGCTCTCAGAAGCAAAGATCCCAGAGATTTGAATCCTAGCACGACCATATAGGTAGCTCTCTAAAATAGGGTCGGTTTAGGGTTTAGGCTCTCGAAACTCGGACTCCGCCAGACGAGGTCTAGGGTTTAGGGGTTTTGGGTAGTTGTCCAAATTAAGGCCCCTTTTAAGGTCCTTTTTATAAGGATGCCGTACTCTATTGGGGACCAAAAAAGGGACCCTGATTTAGAATACTACCCATATCCAGACCCATAGACCCATAGACCCTATAAGCCTTAGGGCCTAAACCTTAAACCAGACCCTAGGACCAAGACCCTAAACCTTAAGCCCTATAAACCTTAAACCCGAAACCCCGACAAGCCCTAATCAAATGATGCCAGACTATATGGGTTTCGACTCGCGCACTCGTACGGGGCAGGCACGGATTCCAGCAGTAAGTCTTCCAGAACTATACGGGTCTAGGGTCTGACGTTTAGGGTTTAGGCTTAGGGTTTAGGTTTGCTGAAACCGTCACCCACAAACTGCTCCACTGTGACAGTCGGAAGGCCGTCCTCGAAGTCTCGATTCAGTCTTGCGTACAGCTCCCCTGAGTGCTCGCCTCACGGAAATCCAATGGCTGGCTAAAGCCTACACTTTTTGCCACTCACACTTGAACAAAGCCTCGCGAGGTCTGTAGCGATAGTGGCCCAACGATGAAACAGAAGACACTGCAGTAGGCTTTTTTAGGGTTTAGGGCGACGCCGTACTGTCCCATTTTGGACATACAAATAGCTGGCAGGGTTTGGAACTGCAGCCACAGCCTACATTGCGACGACTACCCGTCTAATCCCTTGCTGCACTTAACAAGAGTTTTGGGGTGCAAAAGCGTTTTCGCGGCATCGGAAGGTATTGCATATTCTGAGATGGAGTCACTACTGTGGATACACTACATTCGCTACATCATACAATGGCTAGGTCTAGGGTGCTTGCCGGCTTAGGGGCAAACTATCACCGGTTGCCATCTCCGTTCGTAACCCTCAACCCCCCCTGAAACCAATCCTGCGCAACACTCTCGTCTTGCATGCATTCGGCTGTCCGGTCGGATATTTCAATCGCGGGCGGCTCGATTCCTCCAGTGCCGGGCCTAATATACGAGCCGAAACAATCCTCGTACGGTTTCGAGAGCTCTGTGGAGCCCAACGCCGAAAGCTCTAATCAGAGCCTACGCAAACCCAAATTCCCAAACCGGACGAAGGGCCTGAAGACCGCGACCCCTGGAGTGGCTTGCCCTGCGTAAGCAACCGGGTGCCGGCGACACGGGCGACACCCCGTCGGCACCATTGGAAAAGAAGGAACAGCCGGAATCGCGTGGCCCCGGCTGCGGCATGTCTATGAAAGGCGTGGAGGCCTTGTACGAGGACCCTCGAATTCGCAAAATCGCTCGGCGGGGCGAAGATCCCGACATCGGGCTGCCCTCACCTAAACTAAGATGGGATCCTGTCCCCAGGTTCCCAAAGCTCTGCCGCAGTCCATTTTGGTAGCTTAGGGTTCCGTGAACCACAGCACATGAATATGAAGCCTTACCCGTATCAAACCTCCCTGAAATCCTTAAGGCCTTCACAAAAGTCCTGCAGCAGAGTCGAACTCCACCACTGACGATGTTCAATGTGGCCGGCAGGCTACCGTGCAGGGTTACGGCTAAGGATCTACAGGCTCGGGGTTTACAAGGCTTGCCGAGAGTACACACAGCCAGCCGTGGCACTTATAGTATTTCGTGCCGGCATCTTGCGACAACAACAACTCGGGGCACATGTGACAACGGATCGAAACAATAACCGACAAGTCAAGAAGCGCCTTAAGGCACAGGAAGAAAGCAAGATTACGAATTGCAAGTCGGGAGCCTATGCAAGAAGGATCTTGTTCGAGGGCTAAAAAATACAAGAGCCTGAATTCTAGAATACGGAGGAGAGAGAACGAGAGAGAGAGAGAGAGATATANNTATATATATATATATGTATTATACTACTTGGCTAATCAGGGGACAGTCAGGAATAGCATGAATGTCACTCCTTCACGCCCCTACAATACCTACTGCCTGCGCAGGCCACCGCAGGTGGTGGAGGCCGGTGATGCCCAAGCCACCCCATCTTACGGAGGTGGCTGGACACGGCAAGGAGACATCTCCCCCGCAGAAAACGGCAGATTCAGCTTTTGATTCACGGTTAAGGTTTAGGGTTTAGGGTTTAGGGTACCCTAAACCCTAAACCCTAAACCTTTTGATTGCTCTCCTTACCCATGCCCTTGCATCCCTAGCTTCCCGAAGGTGTAAGACCCATGCAAGACTGTAGAAACCCTATACACAACAAAAGGAAACCTATGCAACATTCTAGAGAACCAAAACAAAAGGCATGAAGCCTTACCATCCGGGGGCCCAGATCCAATCCTCCTTCTTCGGATCCGGATTGGACCTCGGCTTCTTTCCAAGCGCTTTTAGCTCTTCGACCACTGTTAGTTGCAATCCGGCCTGTACGACAGGTACTTTTCGGTGGTCTTGGTAGGTTTCCGGTGATGTTGAAGCGGTTCCGTCCCGGGGCTATGAGAAAAACAGGGTTCAAATTAAATCCAAAGTGCAAGGAGGGCATCAGAGTAGGGCTAACTTAGGTTGAGGGTATTCCGGCGACCTTTCCCTAACCCCACATCCCCTAAACCCCGAACCCTATGCTGAGGACTCGAGATCCATGGTTCTTTTTGAGAGATCCGGTGGTCTTCCAACGTCTGCTCTTTTTCGGGTACCTTATTTCTGACACTGCCACTGGCCTGGGGCTTATATACGGCTTGGGGTCTTATCGGGTTTAGGGCGGTCGCGTTTTAGGGTCTCTTCGGCTGCAGGAGTCTATGCATAACCCGCCCCCAGACTCTTCGACGCAGATGGAAGCGCGTCGCAAGCCGATAAGTAATGACCGTACTGCACTGGGATATGTAAGAACGAGACCTAGTGTAACCAAGTACTCAGGGGGGCATACACGAAGTAACACGAACTGGTCGGAGAGACACTCAAAACCTGCCAGTTGAGGGATCCGCTTTTGCTCTGCCATGTCATTATGATGGCTACATAGTGGCTCCTGGGTTTTCTTATATGATGCCTTCGACTTAGAATGGCTCTGGATACCTCGTAAGGAATGCTCCCTGCACAGGGTTTCTTACACAGGGTTTCTTACCCCTCAGACTTAGTTGCAGAGGTGGGGACAGGGTTTGAGCCTCACGGGCCGAAAGCTAACGTCAGCAATGCGGGCAGGGCACCACACTGCCTTCCCATGGTGAATCTCGCGGGCATCAAGGATGATTTCTCCCTTCCCCCACAACACCTGCATGTGGATGAAAGCTCTGGGCGAGCGTGGGGAAGTTTGCTCCGTTCCCGATGTCTACATCTCAAAAGTCACGCTTCGTGGTGTGATTCCTGCTGTAGTTGATGTTTCTGTTGCGGTTGCTGCCGTTGCTGTTGCTGTTGTTGTTGTTGCTTCTGTTGTTGCTTCTGTTGTTGCTGTTGCTGCTGCTGCTGCTGCTGCTGCTGCTGCTGCTGCTGCTGCTGCTGCTGCTGCTGCTGCTGCTGCTTCTGTTGATGCTGCTGTTGATGCTGCTGTGGTTGCAGCTCCTGCCGTCGTTGTGGTCGTCGGGGTTGCTGTGATTGTGTTTGTGGTTGTGACTGTGGCTGTGTGGAGAACTGGTGCTGCCGCTGCTTCTGGTGCTGCTTGCGCTGTCTCTCTATCTCTCTCCCTCTCTCTCTCTCTCTCCCTCCCGTTCTCTCTCTCCCTCCCTCCCTCCATCCCTCCCTCCCGGCATGCTGATATCTATGCTGCAGCTGCGTAGAAAATTCACGGGTTCTCGGGCTGGCTCGGGGAAGGTGCATTGTTGAACAAAGACCCTTGTGCCACAGTGTAAACAAGAAGTGCGGCTCTTCATGGAACCCCGGACAGCCGAACTCTAGAGTCTCTGGAGACACTCATATCCGGATCACCCGCCCAAAACGTGCCCTTGCAGTTTCTTTAAGCCTTTTAGGACTTATATGCATAGCTCACAGCTCATATTCATGGGGTATTTTCAGGAATTGCGGCGTTGATCTGCGCTCCTGGCCTCATCACCGCTGTTTCTGACGGTAATCGAGCTGGTGCCTTGATTCGCTACCGAAGGTCATGGGTTTAGGGTTTAGGGTTTAGGGTTTAGGATACTGCTCAGGGTCATTTTGCAGATCCGTTTTGCGGCCTGAGGTTACTGAAGCTCAAACTTTAAACTTGCACCCAAAAGTCTCGACGCTCGGACACACTTAGACCGCTGACACTACTGTTTCACAGTCCCAAAACCTGAGCCAGATCAGCTCCTCGTAAACCCTGTACAGTCCGAACCCTATCCTTGAAGCTTCATAAAACCGTGCAGTTTATAAAGTGTCCTCCTTAGTTCAGCGATGTTGGGAGTCCTTCGGACTTCTGCCTATCCCGTCAACGTGCGGGCGGGGCTTCTAAAGGCTGTTGTTAAGTACATGTTCAAGGGTTGCAAAGGGGTGCAGTGTCAGATTTGAGGGTGCGTTATCGCATATTCAAATCACGACTCTAGGGAGACGTTCTTACTCATGAATGATGCAGACCTCATCCAAGTGCACATTGATGCTGTTGAAAGGCTGGACCCTAAACAATTGACCATCGCACCAAATATACCTATCTGCATAAGCTCTAACCACGTTTCCAGTATTGGCTACACTAGTTCATCGTTTCGCAGGTTGAGCTGTAGCATGACACTTCGACCGTACCTAAGCCACCAAAAATATGTAGAAAAAAAACAATTTAGAGCTTTGGGCCATTACTTTACCAAGTTTGGGGGGTTTATGCAAGGGTTCAGGGTTCAAGGAAGGTGTAGCCTCACAAGTAAGAGTTCATACAGGGGCCTGGATAATTAGTGGAGGATTTAGGTAGTAAGGGTTCGTTCTCAAGGGGCTTGTGGTTTGGGTGCAGCCTTTTACGGCTTGGGATCCGACAGATAACCAGCAACAGTAGTTTCCTAAGGTGGTTGAGAAACGTCCGACTTCTATTTGTTGCGGTTTCAGAGCTCTTGTTTTTTTGATCCTGGCGTCCGCCTACATCCTCACATCCCCCAAAACTCTGCCAAGTGTCGCCCGCTCCTCGGAGCTACCTTAGGGAAGGGCGTTAAAAAGCGGGCCTGAATAATCAAAAATATGGGTTTGGGGGGCGGTCTATTTTTGCATACCTAGAAGAGAACCATGAAGGTGCAGTCTTACTATAATTCTTCCCACCCCGGTGTTCGGACTTGGCACAGATGCCTTGAAAAGTTAGACGAGGCTTTCTCTACCTTCGGAGCTGGGGCTGAAAGCACACAAAACCCTAAACCCTGAACCCTAAAAAAGGCATCCCTACATACCCTAAACCCCAGGGCTTTGAGGACCCCTGCTTTGCAAATTTACGGTTTGGCGGTTCGGAAGTAAACAGTTCGGGTTCTCGAGTGTTTATGGTTTAGGATTCGGTATTAGGGTTTAGGGTTCAGGCTGGTCAGGTCCTAGGTGCTCAGGCTGTTTTGAACAACCCCGTTCCGTCCCGCAGGGATCCAGGAAGCGGGTTTAGGGTTCAGGTTTGGGGCTTAGGATTTATAGGGCCAGCTTTAGGTTCAAAGTTCAAAGAGCTACTGTAAGGGTCTCAGCAACTAGAGTAAGCAGTTAGGGTTGCTAAAGGGGCTCCATTGAGAGGGATGTATAAGTCTCGGCATTGCAAGCTTCTCATGAAATGTTAGGCTTCTCGGTTCATGGCAACACTTCAACCTAGCACCTTGCACCATCCTCTGATCGCCACAACGTCGCAGAAATGCCAGAATCTGAAGAGTTCAGGTTTTTTTGTGGGTCGGGCCCTCGACGTCAAGCCAGCTTCACTTTTGTTAGGACCCCAATCAGAAACCTTGTGAGCATTCAAGAAAACCTTCCCCCCCCCCACGTACATTAAAAACCCTGAACCCTCAACCCTAAACCCTATAGTACCCTTATAGATCCCTAAACCCTAAACCCTGTAGTACCCTTATAGATCCCTTATAGGATCCCTAAACCCTAAACCCTATAGCACCCTTGTAGATCCCTTATAGGAGGCCTGAACCCTAATCCCTACAGCACCCTTATAGATCCCTTATAGGAGCCCTAAGCCCTAAACCCTATAGCACCCTCATAGATCCCTTATAGGAGCCCTAAGCCCTAGCTGAGCTAACTGAGTCTGCCACGCCATCAGTCCAGGTCAGACACCTCAGTCGGCCTGGCGAGGTTTCGAGCTTGAAACAGGTTAGGGTTTAGAGTTTAGGGTTCAGGGTTCAGGGTTTAGGGTTTTAGGGTTTAGGGTTTAGGGTTTAGGGTTTTAGGTTTAGGGTTTAAGGCTCCTATAAGGGATCTAAAAGGGTACTATAGGGTCTGGGGTTTCGGGTTTAGGGGCCGGAAAGAACATTTAAGCAGTGCTGTTAATCAGGGTCTTGTTTGAGGTCCCAGAAACAGTACGGCACACTTATCAGAAGGAACCTGAAAGGGGGATCCGAATTCGAGAACTACCTATTTAGTACTAGTCTTTTTTGCTGTTCAGAAGGGTCCCCAATTGTTCCGTAGTCCAAAACCTGCTCCGATTATCCCAGGTTAGGTTCAGGGTTTGGGGTTCTTCTGGCCTTCGACTGGGATCGTTCGGGTTACGAACCGCATCTGGCGAACATAGGGGACCCTAATATAGTACCCTAAATCGTAAGATCCTGAAGAAAAGGAGCCCAAAGTAAGGCACCCCTTGTTTTCGGAAACCTCCATATCACCATAAGAAGGAACCCAAAAAATGTATAGGTAATTGTTAAGACCCGAACCGTTCGGATAGGAGGCGGGTCTCTGTTCGTGTCACGTCCTTCGCCCAAAGGGAAGCCCCACCCCGACACTGCAAGCCTAAGATACTGTAGCGGCCTTAATAATTTTAATTAGACAAGGGTTTTGGGGGATCCTTATTGTAATTATAGTAAAAGAGAATGTAGGGGCTTTCACAATTAGAACAGGGTTTTGGGGGGGGTCGCTGTTAAGATTATGGTATAATATACCCCAAACCCTATCCTAATAATTAAGGTCCCTAGGGCTAAAGCTTGGCCACGAAGGTCTTCTCACGGCTCTCAGGGCTGGGGCGTACCCTAAGCCCTAAACCCCAACCCTAAACCCTAAACCGTTTTAAAATCACCACCACCGAATCTCTAATAGCAATGTACTCCAGACCCCGAGCTCCCCAAACCTCAGCCCTATAACCCTACTCAGGCCCTTAAGCCCGAAATCCGAAAATCTCCTATACACCCTAAACCCCTCTAGTCTATCCCGAAATCCGAATATCCCTAAACCATAAACTCCTGTAGTATATCCCGACATCTGCAAAAAAACCCAAATCCTTCAACCCTCAACCCCTGAAAAAGGAACTGGTAAGGCCCTGGGGTTTCTCGGATGCTTCAAGGCCTGTCTTTTCGCAGATATAGACTTCGTGCCACTGCTTCTTCCTGACGACTTCGGTTTCCAGGTCTGATGTCTTGGCATTCGGTTGGGTGGCATAAGGTATCTACAAAGGTTCTACCAGAACTTCTGTAGGTTTGTTGGGGGTTTAGGGCTTAGGGTGGTTTAGGGTTTAGGGCGCAGAGTTTTTAGCTGTTCTTGGGGCTTCGAGGTTTACGCCTTTGTGATTCTTGGGATGTAGCACGGGCACTTGGTTTCCCAATTATTATGGTCGACGTTTCAGAGCAGGTAGGCTCATGCCGTAGATTCCCGCAACAAGTTCAGAGGACCCCAAGATTCCCCCAAGGTCGACCACGCTCTAGTTCTAGAGACCTCAAGAGGTGGGATTGAAGGTAGGGAGGATGAAGGACTTACATTCGGACTCTTAATGGAGATTCCCACCTAGCTCCATCCCACTTCGGGAGCCCATGGTGCATACTACATGGACATGAGAATGAACGGTGGTGGCTAAACTGGATCTCTGTTGATTCGGTCTTCGAATGTTGAGAAATCAAGGTATCAGTTAAAGCCTACTGCAGGCCTTAGATTAAGGTCCAACTTAAACCCTGAACTGCAATCCCTGATCTTCACCCTAGACCTCAGTCGCCCTTACTTCAGTAACTTTTAAACCCCATTCCCATAATCGTACTACTGCTGTTAGAAGCGATCTCCAGGGGTTGAAGCACTGGGTTCCACACCGTGCATTGTGATCCAAGCCATGCCATCTGCCGAGGGCAAGCCGGGTCTTCCGCTGTGGGGTTTGGGGCAGTTTATCATAAGGATAGGGTTGTAAAGGTTCTGTAGGGTATACATA